ACAGAGTGCCTGAAGAACTATGGACAGAGGTCTGTGACACTGAACAGGAGGCAGTAATCAAGACCATCCCCAAGAAAAAGAAAAGCAAAAAGGCAAAATGGTTGTCCTTACAAATAGCTGAGAAAAGAAGTGAAAGGCAAAGGAGAAAAAGAAGGATATACACATTTGAAGGCAGAGTTTCAAGGAATAGCAAGGAGAGATTAAGAAAGCCTTCCTAAGTGAATACTGCAAAGAAACAGAGGAAAACAATAGAATGGCAAAGACTAGAGATCTCTTCAACAAAATTAGAGATATCAAAGGAACTCACACAAAGATGGGCTCAGTAAAGGACAGAAATGGTATGGACCTAACAGAAGCAGAAGATATTAAGAAGAGGTGGCAAGAATACACAGAAGAACTATACAAAAAAGATCTTCATGACCCCGATAATCACAATGGTGTGATCACTCATCTAGAGCTAGTCATCCTGGAATGTGAAGTCAAGGGGGCCTTAGGAAGCATCACTATAAACAAAGTTAGTGGAGGTGATGGAATTCCAGTTGAGCTAGTTCAAATCTTAAAAGATGATGATGCTGTGAAAGTGCTGCACTAAATATGCCAGCAAATTTGGAAAACTCACAGGGCTGGAAAAGGTCAGTTTTCATTCCAACCCAAAGAAAGGTAATGCCAAAGAATGCTCAAACTAACACACAATTGCACTCATCTCACACGCTAGCAAAGTAATGCTCAAAATTCTCCAAGCCAGGCTTCAACAATGCATGAACCATGAACTTGCAGATGTTAAAGCTGGATTTAGAAAAGGCAGAGGAACCGGACATCTAATTGCCGACATCCACTGGATCATCAAAAAAGCAAGGAAGTTCCAGAAAACTATCTACTTCTGCTTTACTGACTATGCCAAAGCCTTTGACTGTGTGGATCACAACAAACTGTGGAAAGTTCTTAAAGGGATGGGAATACCAGACCACCTGACTTGCCTCCTGAGAAATCTGCATGCAGGTCAAGAAGCAACAGTTAGAAATGGACATGGAACATTGGGAAAGGAGTTCCACATTGGGAAAGGAGTACGTCAAGGCTGTATATTGTCACCCTGCTTATTTAACTTATATGCAGAGTACATCATGAGAAATGCCTGGCTAGATGAAGCATTAAGCTGGAATCAAGATTGCTGGGAGAAATGTCAATAACCTCAGATATGTAGATGACACCACCCTTATGGCAGAAAGTGAAGAAGAACTAAAGAGCCTCTTGATGAAAGTGAAAGAGGAGAGTGAAAAAGTTGGCTTAAAGCTCAACATTCAGAAAACTAAGATCATGGCATCCGGTCCCATCACTTCATGGCAAATACAGGGGGAAACAGTGGAAACAGTGGCAGACTTTTTTTTTGGGGGGGGGGGGCTCCAAAATAATTGCAGATGGTGACTGCAGCCATGAAATTAAAAGACACTTACTCCTTGGAAGAAAAGTTATGACCAACCTAGACAGCATATTAAAAAGCAGAGACATTACTTTGCCAACAAAAGTCCATCTAGTCAAAGCTATGGTTTTTCCAGTGGTCATGTCTGGATGTGAGAGTTGGACTATAAAGAAAACTGAGCGCTAAAAAACTGATGTTTTTGAACTGTGGTGTTGGAGAAGATGCTTGAGAGTCCCTTGGACTACAAGGAGATCCAACCAGTCCATCCTAAAGGAAATCAGTCCTGAATATTTAATGGAAGGACTGATGTTGAAGCTAAAACTCCAATCCTTGGCCACCTGATGTGAAGAACTAACTCATTTGAAAAGACCTTGATGCTAGGAAAGATTGAAGGTAGGAGAAGAAGGGGACAACAGAGGGTGAGACAGTGGAGGGCATCACCAACTCAATGGACATGAGTTTGAGTAAACACCAGGAGTTTGTGATGGACAGGGAAGCCCGGCATGCTGCAGTCCATGGGGTCACAAAGAGTCGGACATGACTGAGAGACTGAACTGAACTGAGACTCTTATAATTAGGCATCAAATAGAATTTTTAAACATGTGTCTAATACAGGTACATTTTGGTGGAAGTCATTCAATTTTTAAAATATTGGTTCTTTATGACTATTAGGATACTTTAAATCTTTCTAAAAAGAAAACCTCCATGGTCAGTAATGGTAGCTGGGTTATGACTAGGTTGAATTGATATTTCTCTTCTTGTTCTTGTATCCTTTATATAACAAGATGGCAGGCATCCTCTGTTATATAATGACTACAAAGGAATAAATATATGTTTGGATTACTGCACAGAAAGAGGAAATTGCAAAAAAACTGGACAAAAGCTGACTAAGCAGCTGGAGACACAGAATACAGATCATTAAATTCATTCTGAGGGTACCAGGTGAGAAGGTTCCATGACTGTATCTTTTTAAAGGCACTGTAATAATCACTACATTCTCTCATTTAAGAAGAGAGGAAAATTTGCATTTATAATTATCTTTATATTTTAATTTAAATCATTTCCTAAAGCACTAAAAACTGCCTTTCTATCTGCATGCTGATGACCAAACTCCTATCTCCAACTGTCCTTTTGCTCTCTAATTTCAGATCTGTGGCCCACTCTGCACAAATCTGCTGTGTGTCTATGGACAAGCTACTTAACCTCTCTGTGTTTCAGTTTTTCACTTAAAAATAAGGATAGCAGTGCTGACCTCACTAATTTTTGAGGAGATTAATGAATTAACAGAAGTAAAGCACTTAACAACAATGCCTGATAAACATGCAATAAATAGTATTACTCATATTTACTAGTATTATTTTGAACTGTTAGTTATCTCCACAAAGTGTCCTAGAATCCAGTAAATCTCCAAACCGTTAATTTCATGCCTGTTCAAAAATTTTGGTGTTTCTTTTCCAGATCTAATGTAACAAAATTACCCATTTCCCAAGGGATCCTAACTTAGGTCAGAAATCTTTGTACCATAATACTCTATTCCTCCTTCTCCTTCATCATCTAAAAAATCTTCACACTCCTAGCTCTGAAATCATAGTGACTTCTCTTACTAGATGGTGATTATTTTCAGTACAGGGATTGTATTCCTTTATAGAAGTTTACAGAGTTCCTATACTCTTGACATCTAAGAAAAAACCTAGGAAAGTTTTTTTCCTGTCTTCAGTTCAGTTCAGTTGCTTAGTCATGTCTGACTCTTTGGGACCCCATGGACTGCAGCACGCCAGGCCTCCCTGTCCATCACCAACTCCTAGAGATTACTCAAACTCATGTCCATTCAGTCGGTGATGCCATCCAACCATCTCATCCTCTGTCATCCCCTTCTCTGCCTGCTTTCAATCTTTCCCAGCATCAGTGTCTTTTCAAATGAGTCAGCTCTTAGCATCAGTTGGTCAAAGTATTGCAGTTTCAGTTTCAACATCAGTCCTTCCAATGAATATTCAGGACTGATTTCCTTTAGGATGGACTGGTTGGATCTCTCTGCAGTCCAAGGGACTCTCAACAGTCTTCTCCAACACCACAGTTCAAAAGCATCTATTCTTTGGTGCTCAGCTTTCTTTATGGTCCAACTCTCACATCCATACATGACCACTGGAAAACATAGCCTTGACTAGACGGACCTTTGTTGGCAAAGTAACGACTCTGCTTTTTAATATGCGGTCTAGGTTGGTGATAACTTTTCTTCCAAGGAGTAAGCATCTTTTAATTTCATGGCTGCAATCACCATCTGCAGTGATTTTGGAGCCCCAATAAAATAAAGTCTGCCACTGTTCCCACTGTTTCTCCATCTTTTTGCCATGAAGTGATGGGACCAGATGCCATAATCTTAGTTTTCTGAATGTTGAGCTTTAAGCCAACTTTTTCACTCTCCTCTTTCACTTTCATCAAGAGGCTCCTTAGTTGTTCTTCACTTTCTGCCATAAGGGTGGTGTCCTCTGCATATCTGAGGTTTTTGATATTTCTCCCAGCAATCTTGATTCCAGTTTAATGCTTCATCCAGCCCAGCATTTCTCATGATGTACTCTGCATATAAGTTAGATAAGCAGGGTGACAATATACATCCTTGACATACTCCTTTCCCAAGGTGGAACCAGTCTGTTGTTCCATGGCCAGTTCTAACTGTTGCTTCCTAATCTGTATACAGATTTCTCACGAGGTGAGTCAGGGGGTCTGGTATTCCCATCTCTTGAAAAATTTTCCAGTTTGTTGTGATCCACACAGTCAAAGGCTTTGGCATAGTCCATAAAGCAGAAATAGATATTTTTCTGGAACTCTCTTGCTTTTTCGATGATCCAGCAGATGCTGGCAATTTGATCTCTGGTTCCTCTGCCTTTCCTGCCTTACGCACTCAATAAATGCATCTTCTGTGTATGTATACACATAAATCTCTTACTTACAGACATATATTACTCTCTCTCTCTCCCTTACAGTTTTGGCCTATCATAACATTTCAGAAATATATAATTATTCAGGAAATAAGTTATGCAAGCAGATCTTAAGAAAAATTTTAGATTTCATCTGATTAATTTTTAATGCTGATAAGATTGTGGGAAACCTCTAACTCTCACACAATGTTGGTATTAGGATAAATTGATACAACACTAAGAACAGACTTTAAGAGTCACAACATTTTTCATTGTACTTACCTAAATAACTCTGGAAATTAACAAAAGAAACAAAATTATTTGCACAAAAATGTTCATATTATTTTCATTATAATGGAGATAACATGAAAACCAATCTAAATAATTATAGTTTTGAAATCTCAATGGACTAGTATAGAGCTATTAATGCTATTATATTAACTACAGAAGTAGAAATAGATGCTGTTTTTAAAGACTATATTTATGCCATGGTTATAATTATATAAAACCTATATATTTATATATATATACTAAAAATGCAACTGGAGTTTATATTTTTGAATGATTTCTGGTACTGAAATAAATGTTCTATAAAAGGTAATTTTAATCAGATGAATATATTATATAAAACATTCAGCTATAAATTAAGATTTCAAAATATCAAATACCTTTGGGTAAACCTTAAATATGGTATATAGTCTATTACAGCAGGAAGGTTGCCATCCAATCTTTCTCCCTTTAGGCAGAAGCTAAGACAACAGACAATAAATATATTAATACATAAAAATTTAAATCACAGTGTTATAAACAAGTCTTGTTAGAGACATTTGTTTCATCAAACTGCAGATGAATTTTTTATTTGTAATTTAAATGTGACTTGTTATAATCACCTCAATAAAAATAATTCTACCTTCAATATCAAGGGCTTACAAAAATTAATAACACTATTACATACATACAGCATGCAAAAGTAAAGTTTACTGAGAAATCTGTACTATTTACATAGTTCATTTTATCTTGGTCTTTATTAGACTCCAAAGATGTCACTGGAGTATTTTCAAATGAAGAGTTGTTCTCAGTTACATACAAATTCTCAGGTGACACTGAATATTTCCTCAAATGGTCTGACTGCTTAGAAAAATCATGTATGAACTACTACCTTTTGGTTCCTCTGGGAAGTTTTCCTGCTAAAATGCTTACTCTAATATGTTAATATCAAGGATGCAGGATGTATTTTTCCAGACTTGAATAAGGAGAGAATCAAAGTGGCCACATTTTATATGGGCTCTCCTTCATTTACAAAAACATTACCAATGTATCATTAAGATACTTGCTTTCTACACAATATCAATGGGCTACAACAAACTGAGAGTTTATACTATTATCCCAGTTTTGTTTTCAGCCAAAAAATAAATTGTAGAGGATTTAGACAGAGCCAGCAGCATACGGTAAAAAGTCAACACCCTTACAGAAATCATGAAGACAGCCTTCATGCTGAATTCACCACGTTCATCCCCAACAATTAAGTTAATTAACCAAATCCCACTTTATCAAATTTCAAATAGAGGAAAGTTATACTTACAAAGAGAAAAGTATTTTGAAAAAGAAGTGACTTACTAGAAAAAAGTAACGAGTTAAACTGAGGAACTTAAGGAATTGACTGAATTAACCCTTCTTCAGTTAATTTAAGTTTAAGACAGTCTCTTTTTCGAGAGCAATATTTTTTAGTTCAAGAACTAAAAGCAGATTTTTAAGTTTTATGCTTATTTGTTAACAGTGGATTTTTAAGTGATATATTTCAATGAAAATATAATCCTTAATTCTCAGGTTTGAATTCTTATTATAGACAAACCTTTTACTTTTAGTACAATGTAAAATCTTAGATCAGTAAATGAAATGCAAAAGGATGCTCCAAACAACCTACGAAGAACTTAGAATGTCCATTTTTAGTACCTGTAATCTTAGTCTGGAATCAACTCAATTGTTGATAATAAAAGCAAATATTAACAAAAATTTTAATACTCCAGAAACAAAACAAGAAACATAAGGTATCTAAAACAGCCTGTCAAGATCCTCTTTATCTCACCACATGAGAAAATGAAAATCTTTCTGGCTATGAATCAACATTAGTATATTTCTTTTTCATTTTAAAACAGTAGTTGAAAAATACTGAGATAAGATCTAAAACCTTCCTTCAGTGCTACCAGAATATACGATTTTTTTGGTCGGAGGGATGTGGTCCAAGCTTTCTATTTCCCAAGCCAGAGAGCAAACAAGTTTTGTCAGTTAATTCCTTAAATTTAAGACAGCCTCTTTTTTTAGAGCAAACCTATTTATAAAACTGATCTCATTATAAAGGGAACAACACAAATCAAACCAATATCCAACTGCATGCTTTACATAGAAAACTGAAAGAAAAGAATCATAAGCAGAAACTATTATGAGGTAGAATACTTTTAAATCAGAATACATACAGTTACATGAAGTACCTGAAATCAATAGCATTGAGTCCAAGGAGCATGCCAGCAAGCATATTTGCTTCCTCACCCAAGACAATTGCTCCATCTTCATAAAATCTCCTAAAAAATGAAATGGGTGAATATGTATTAAAAGCAGACTGAAGCTTCAGCTACAGTAATCACTTACAGCCCAAGCTAGAGTAGAAAGAACTAAAATTTATTTAATTTGTCAAAACAAGAACATACTTGGATCACTTAAATCTTGCAGATACTTAGCAGAATAAAAAAGCTGCCATTGTAACGAGGAAAAAATCATTCTAAGTGTTTACATCTCTCTTAAAAAGTATCTTCAAAGTGACTCATTTAGTAGGCCTACAGTGTCTAGTATTTTTCCAAGACTGAAGCAATATATATGTAAACTGAAAGGTGGTAAACAAGTCATTTAAACTGGTCTCCTTTCAAAACTATGTAGATTATTTTTCTACTTATATACAGAGAACACAAACATACATTGTTTTTCTGTAATTCCAAGGGTTATTAACCAAACCAAGAACTAGGAAGATGTGATTAATAGTAATTTATGCTAACCTTTAACATTACAATACTAATAGGGCAGATGGGCTACCTAGGTGGCCGCATACGAAAAAGAAAGTGTTCACTGTATCTCTGATAAAATGTGAATATGAATCTATCTCTGTTAATTCTTGTAAAGCCTTCTGTTTTGGTTCATGCTAAGTTTTATAATATTAAAGTTTTATTTTAAAATATTTAAAATAAATATTTTGAAAAAATATCATTTAATATGGGCTTAAGGTGTTTTTCCACAGAAGACTCTAAGATTATTGAATTCATTTTTCAAACAGTATCAAAAACTTGTTTATGTTCAGTAACAGGGATAATAAAATTGTTATTGTCTTGCTCTTTTCCATATTCTTGAGCTTATAAAGCGGAGAAGGCAATGGCAACCCACTCCAGTACTCTTGCCTGGAAAATTCCATGGACAGAGGAGCCTGGTGGCCTGCCATCTATGGGGTCGCAGAGAATCGGACAGGACAAGCAACTTAGCAGCAACAGCAGCAGCAGAGCTTATAAAGACTGCATATAAGTTTATAATCTTATGTTACTATCATCAATTTTGAATAGTCCGCAGTTTACCAAATACTTTTATAATCATATTATTTGATACTTGCAAAGCTGATGAAATAAATGCAGAAGCAATTGTCATTTGTTTCAATTTCATTATCAAGAAGAGAGACAGGTTTAAACAGTTCGCCCAAGATTATGTTGATAAACTTATCAAGGAGAAAACCAATTTTTACTTAAGTTCTACATCTTTTCTACTGAACCATGATACTTCCTGTAAAATAAAAATATTTAAAGAGAATTTAACCTCTGTTACGGCCTGTAAGAAATTTTACATGAATAAAAAGTACAAAGGAAAATACAACTATTTACCCTCTGACAGATGTAAGGCTACAAACAAACATGGTGGGAAGACTAGCTCGGATTAGATGCTCTTTCTTGGAAATATGTAAATTTACATTTCTTAAAAATGTAAATGAATAGTTACCATTTACGTAAAAGGAGAAAAACTAAAAGTTTCAGCCTAACAAAGATAAGTAAAATAAATGGAAGAAATTCCTACATATTCAACTGAGGTGTTCCACAAAATGGTAAAGATATTTAGACAAAACTAAACATCTGAGATTTTGTCACTGCCTCACTGGCTAAATTGGCTGACAGAATGTTTGATCAACTCCTTGAAGAACTATGATTCCAATGGTTCTAGACCGCCACTGCCTACAGGACACATGCGTTTATTCTGGCATTTGACAATGGCAATCACCCATAATTCCCAGTATTTCCCTATATGAGAACAGGTGTATTTTTATTTGCCACCTTGAGCTCATCATGTTTAAAAGTACATTCTAAGAATCAGATCAAAACTATTTTTGCTTGCTTTCTAATGTTAATATTATACTAGGAACTAATGAAAAATACCTAAAACAAAAACTAAATGGTTTTAGAAAAATTTTAAGCAAGCTTAAAGGTAATTTATATACCCTATGTTTTATATACCATTTTGTTTACTGAGTTCTTCTGGCCTTTGTTTTACTATTGATGTTTTAAGCTAACCTAGGGGCTTCCCTGATAGCTCAGTTGGTAAGAATCCACCTGCAATGCAGGAGACCTCAGTTCGATTCCTGGGTCAGGAAGATCTGGAGAAGGGATAGGCTACCCACTCTTGTATTCTTGGGCTTCCCTTGTGACTCAGCTGGTAAAGAATCTGCCTGCAATGCAGGAGACCTGGGTTCAGTCCCTGGGTTGGGAAGATCCTGTGGAGAAGGGAAAGGCTACCCACTCTGGAGAACCCCTGTAGTCCATGGGGTTGCAAAGAGTCAGACAAGACTGAGCAACTGTCACTGTCATATAGTGTCATACACTAGATGTGAAATCAGTTAATTCCACTTAAAACCATATCTGAAACATAATATTGCATAGACCTGATTTAATATGCCTTTACTGTAATAGAGGGGAGGGGAGGACAAAGAGAAGAGGAAAGGCTAGTTAAGAGAACTGTCCATTGTATGCTGAACTTTTTCATTATTAGATCTGATTAAGAAAATAAACTAAGTAAATGCACTTAAAGAAATCTATCAACATTTAGGTTTCATTTACAATATGCTATTTTTATGTCACTTGACATTTTATATACTATCATTTAACCAAAGATACAAGTCATTCATGTGTATTAAAGAGGCAGAAGCTATCACAAAAAACTGTTTTATTCCCTTAATCAAGCCAATACATCAGTAATTCTGACTGAAAATCTGATTCTTGTTATCAATACTTTCAAGACTTCTAAAGACTGTAAACTTTCAATCTCTTCATTTTACCTCACAGAAAAATTGGAACATTTTTATATAACCAAGATTACGTAACCAATGATACAAGAGTAAAGGCTAAGATGACTAATAATACTAAGGTGTACACTAAAAAAATTCCCTTTTGTTGAAAATATTTTTTGTCCTAAGGAAAATATTTTTATGAGAAGGATCTAAACCAAAACCGCATATTGGCTTGCAAAAATGGATTGTAAATATTGAAAGTAGCAAGGTGAAAAATAAATTTAAAACTTCTATTTAAAGGGTTATATGTTAGACTGTATCTTTAAAGAAGTTTTGCATTTTAGAAACAAAGGAAAATTGTCAGCAACTCTTCGATATTACTGTGATCTGGAAGAAAAGTCCCCACTTTCTATCAGGTGTACTCTTTCCAATTATTTGTATGTTGACTACAAAAATATTAGACACTAGAAAGGTACTTAAAATAACACTCAAATAATAATAATCTTTTTCTCAACACATATAATTTAATTCCAATTGAAATACATCTACAATGCCATCTTTAGTGCTTATTTCTGAAGGACTATTTTAAAACCTTTCAGGTACTTCAGTAACAAATATCCTTTGGATGGGAAGTGAACCACCAGAATAGATGATGTTGATACTGAACAATATCATGCTTCAAAATTTATTTTGAGAGTCACAAGTTATTCTACACTCTAAAAGTGCAATACTCAAATATGAGAAATCTTATTTTATAAGCCAAAGAAATTCCATTACCAATATCTTGTTCTCTTCCCCAGTTTAGTCTTTATTTAAGAAGCTTGAAGTGAGGGGAGATAAGATTCTCCCTCATGACATACAAAACAAATTACAGCATTACAAAGAAATGTTCTGTTCTATTCAAAGACAAGGTGAATCAGAATGAAAAGACAGCCAAAAAAATCAATCTCCAAACAGTCTTGCTAAGAATGTGAGATTCTCTATTTTATCAACAAATACATCATGTAGCAAGAACTGTGTTATGTACTAGAGATAAAATGATAAAGAAGGTAAACATGACCCCATTTTATGAAACTTATTGTCTAAGGGAGAGGACAGGCAATAAACAGAAGAAAGAGACAATCAGAGATGGCAAGCAGTGTAAAATAAGGAACTAGGTTATTGAGGTGGAGAAAAAGTAAAGATAAATCCAACTTTGAATAAGGGCATTGGGAAAGATATTCTCGAGTAAGTGTTTATTCTGGGACCTTAGGCCCAAAGAAGTCTGAAAACAGGGCTTTGGAGGCCATATAACATTAATAATAATTGTGAACATGTACTGAACACCAGGCACAGTTTTAAGTGCTTTACATGAATTATCTTAACTTCACCAACAATTATTATGACACAGAGGGAGTATGAAATTTACCCAAGATTCCACAGCTAGAAAGTGGTGAAACCAGGATCTGACTCTAGGAAATGTGTTTGCAGAGCCTGCTGGCTAAAGTAATGAGAAAGCATTTAAAGTGGGAATTGACAGGATCCCTTTTACAATGTTTTTTAAGAAGACTGGCTGGAAGCTGGGTGGCTACTGGCAGGGGGCAAACTGGAATCTCAGTTGGGAGGCTAACAGGGGAGGATGTAGGCAAGAGATGGGAGAGATATGCATTAATGCTACAGCCATAATGATAAAGGCAAACGGATAGATTCTAAATAGATTCTGGAAATAGGATCAAAAAGACTTGCTAATGGAATGGCTGCAATGAGTGAAGGAGAAAAAGGAATCAAATATGAATTTAGATTTTGACTTCATTGGCCATTTAGGTAAGGCAATGAAACAACTTTCAAAGAATGGGGTGAACAGGGTTAGAGGGGAGAAGAATCAAGAAATCTGAACTAGAGATTTAATAAATGTGGCGTCATGACCACCCAGGTGGTATTTAAAACTCCAAAGAGAGCGTTGCAAGATGGCGGCCTCCGTGTTCGCCGGTGCGGTGACAGCAGCCTCCGTGTCAGAATCTGCAAGTGGAGCCCGAGCTCTGTGAGTGATTCTGCTTTGCAGCCATGGACTCTGAGTCTGGTGATTGTGTGAAAGACTGATAGAGAAGACACCTAGACCCTCCATGATCTGCCTTCTGAGCTGCCACCACTCCTCCATGTTAGGAATTTTACGGCCCCTGAACATTTTGGCATCTTCAGCCTATCGAAACTGCACCAAGAATGCCTGTCTTAATTCTGTACTGTCCTCCCGACATTTCAGTCATATTGAGACACCAGTTGTGTCCTCTGCTC